TTCTGCTTTATTCGTAAAGAAATTACGATAAATTACTTGTGGTTATTGGATAAAGAATGAATGAATTGTTTTTTCTTCACCATATATTATCTTTAAATAGATTATGTGTCGCATCTGTATAAATTTCAAGTGAGTGGAAGAAACTCTGTCATAAAGAAGTTAAAAATTATGAAAGATATGGGGGGAAAAAAACTAAAAAATTCGGTTGTAATTATTATAAAAATTAAAAATAAAATAAAATTAGTTACAAAAATATATTATTTTAAACGGAAACTATTATAAATATATAAAACATTTTATTAGTTAATTTATTTTAAATTAATTTATATTTATAACAATTGTTTATACATCAATTTTATTACTTTATAAAGTAATAAATGAAAGCTTTATTAAGCTGTAAAACATTAAAAACAATTAGAATTTGTTTTAAAAAATCAGTTTTATAAATTATAAATATATTTAAATTAAACATAGCATACAATCTAGAATATTATTGCCAAGTAGAAACAGGGCAAACACATGTAAAACATTCTTCGATATTAATCTCTTTTATTACTCTGTGCAAGATATTATTATAAACACTGTACATAGCTTTAATTTATAAATTTAAAACTAAATTTTATATAATAAAATTTTTAGAAAACAAAATATTTTTTAAAAATTTGAAGTAAAATAACAAGATAAATATTATCTGAGAAGGTGGCCTTATCATCTTACTACAGCTATTAAGGAGCAAAGTGCTGCAGAGGAAGAAAATACAACTACCACTACCTTGAGAGCATGGGGAATACAACACAAAAGGAGAATTATTGCTGCGATAAAATTACGTTCCTGATGAAATTTTTATATAAGTAAGTAATGAATCACGTTTAAAAATAAATCCATCTTATTATATATATACGTTTACAGGGATTAACATGGATAAGATAAAAAGGAATTCGTATTAAATACCACAAAATAATTTCAATTCTTCCTTCATTCGTTCGTTAAATTATGAAGAAATTCATAAATTATCCCTCCAATTATTAATTTTTTATGAAAAAATTTCATACTTAAAAATATGGCGATTAAAATTATTTTCTATTTCTTTTTAAAATTTACTAATTAAACTTGTTTCCATTTAATTACTGTTTATTATTCCGAATCGTTTCATTATTATTTACCGAAGATAGAATAATAATATGAAGTTTAAAATTAAAGTCATAAGAGGTAACGTGGATAGTAACATTGTAATATCAAATGCAGGCATTAGAAAATGACTATTCATTAGCACACACTCAGATATACAACAGATGTCTTCGTATTATCAGATTTATAAGGCAAGAATATACAAATTTAAATATAGTTGGGAGTAAACATCTCCTTCGTATAATACCCGTGTTTATTGTGCTATTGTTTACAGTGTTAAGTATTAAAAATTGGAATTATCCTCGGTTAGTTGAGAATTATATTAAATTTATCCTAACAATAACATTTTAATGTATCGACTACTAATATCATCTAAAATTCTATTAGCAAATTACATTTATCTGTTCATTTTATGCTGTTCTAAATTATATTCGAGATGCTTACTGCATTAGTAACATTATCTATAAATTAAGCATCATTATAATTAATTAGATGAAACAACTAATATATTTTTTCCCCGTTAAATTAAACAAAAAAATACATAGAATTTCTGTTTTTAATCTAAATAAATACAGTGGCTTATAACCTAATTAATTAGCTTACTGAATGATTTACAATATTTAATTTTTGATGGGAAGTTTTAATGATGTTTCTTCAGGATGTTGAGAAGATTTTTATGTTTGTAATGAAACGGTACACCCAATTTACTCGTCCATTTTTAATTTTTGATTAATTTACAGTACTTAAAATAAATCAAATCAAGCGTTGTAAGCATAAACATCCTCCCTCTGCATTATTTACGATAAATACATTAACAGAATCTTTAAAAAATCCAGTTTAAATCCTTTATAATATTCATAAATGTTAATTATTTACAAGATGGATCATTCTCGGATCAATTCTAATGATTTTCAATGCAGAGATATCTTTCGAATTAACTGTATTAAAATTTAATGACAGATTTAAGATTTTAATAATTAGAATCAAGATATTTAATGATTATAAAATGAATACACGTTTGTATCCGATAAAGGAGACATTTATTTTAAATATAAAGTCCCTCGTTATTCTAATGGCATTTTATTAGCGTTCATGATAACTAGATTTTAAATTAGATAAGGAAATGGGAGATTCTGATAAATGTACAGTACTCCAAGAGTACAAAGTATAATTCTTCCTTTGATCTTTCAGAAATTTCTGTGCGAATTTTCATGCAATTTTTACAATCGATTTCGCATTGGTTAATTTAATTCAGCATCGTGGGTGGTGAAAGCTATTTTAAAATATATTTTTAAACATTTTTAAGAAAAAAAATCGTGTAAAAAATCCGTCATGAGCGCACGTAATTTGTTTATAAATTCAAATACATGAATATTTAATGATTAAAATACTTTTAAAATTTTTCTAGAAGTTCTACTAAATACAAAACTAAAAAAAAAAAGGAAACAGATTTATTAATTTTCAAAATTTCTAGAGTTAATCTTGAAATCTGAAAACGACATAACGCTTTTAGTAATTGATTCATTAAACGAAACTAACATATTAATTGATTAATCTAGTATAACATAATTACGCCGCAATTATAGAATAATGTGTAGATGTAAAGTACGTGTACATTTTTAAAGTTTATATATATTTATAGGAAAAAAAAATTACATATATTCATCTTTTGATGTAACTTTATCCTCTATTAATGAAGAATCTACAACGAGAGCAGAACAGATTTATGAGGATTGTGGACGATCCCGCTCTAGAATTTTATGACCAAACGTGTACATTACACGTACACTTCCATTTATGTTCCCGAAAGTTAAAGCATATACGTCGTAGTTAAATAATATTCTCATACATAATTAATATATCTTTAATTTTACTTCATATAACCAATAAATTTTTCATCTTTTTAAAACTTTTCTACAAAATATTTATAATGAAACTGAAGTACTTATTATAAGCCACTTTGGCCATAAAAATTTAACGTTCCTTTATTGATTATATAATTAATATACACTCTTATCTATCTTTACGTGTTATTTTAAATTTTTGAATTTATTTCTACGTGATTTTAAATCGTAAAACTTTAAAAATTTAATAGCGTTTTTAAAATTAAATTTAAAATGTTACTTTCTAGAATTTCTTAAATTGATTTATTGGAATTTTAAATTCGCTTGTAACAATTTAGTAATTAAACTTAATTGGATCAAATTTAAATAGAATAATTTAATTAATTTTAAAAGTTGTATAATTTTATTTTTCGACGATTAAAGCTGTTAAGTATATATATATTGTGCATGATCTGTATAAAAGAATATCAGCACAGTTCATAGAGGACAGTTTTCTCTAGTGACTTGACCTAGTTTCTGGAATATCTCTCACTATCTCAATGTTAGTTGCAGTAAGACATTAAAATGCCGTGAAAAAAGATTATTAAAGAGACAATAGCAAATTCTAGAACGGAACTTTAGCATGTATTAATTGTCTCGAAATTAAAGGTAATTTTTCTTAACTCTTAATTATAATTAAATTACTGTTTTACTGATTTTATAGCTTAAGGTGATGGCACTTTTAACCTGTTTTTATAAATATTTAATAATAGCTGATAAAGAAAATTTATTCTAGATCTAACCATGATTAAATTGAGTAATACTCTATCACAGATATTTGGAAATAATCTATAATAAGGATTATATATGAGGATTAAAATAATTAAAATTATATAAAGTTTTAATAAATTAAGTAGCATTTTAAATGTCAAAACACTCAAAAGGGCTATAAACTCGCAGTATAACTTGCAGTTTCAATATAAATTATTCTAGAAATAACTCTGTAAATTAATTAATTACCAAACCAGTAGTTAAATATTTATTTAATTCTTTTTAACCTGATCAAACTAAACGTGCGATTAAAAATATAATATTATCGATATTTGATGAACTTAGCACTGTTAACGCAGGAAATGGTTCTAGAACTTTGGTAAACAAAGCCAAATTACATTTGAAATTTTATTTTAAGGAAGAGATTTGCGGTTCAATTCTCTCCACCAATTTAAATGAACCTAAAGAAGCATTTTCATCTTATTGTGATTACAGCACTTCCTGTAATTTTTACCACATCACCAATTTCGAATCGACTGGAGTGAGAGGAAACACTTTTCCATTTTCTTTATTTCTTCTTTATCCTCTATACATCTTCATTTATCTTCGTATCTGAATCAATTTGTAATCCTCCTATTGTGCTTCTAAACGTAGTCCACCCATCACGTCACCAATTTGTAGTAGGCGGAATGCAATGAAGATGTTCCAATTCTTCTTTATACATAGATAAACATTAAATTTTTTTCGCGTGTGCGCGAAAACAAACAATTTAGTGGAGTTATAATGTTTATTATTCAATAAATGTAAGAAATTATACTAATTTGATTTCAATTTTGGATAAATTCCAGCTAGTATGTAAGAAAAATTCAGGAAAATCGAATCTATAGAAAAACCCAGTCATTCAATATACTGCACGAAGAACTTATCATTTGGATTACTGGATCACCTTTCCTCCAGTTGCTATGACGACAGGTAAAAGATGCTGAGAGCAACGATTGAACGAGTGCAATCAAATGAAATATTCATACTTTCTCTCCCATTGTTATTTTCTCAAATATTACTGCATTGTTAAGAACTAGACTGCAGAAGGTATTGTACAATTCTCTTATTCAAGCTGGCAAATCGACGTTATCTAAAATGAATATTTTCTAAACGCAGACATGACAAAGGTCACAAGTAGAGAGATCGTGCAGCAAATTCGAAAGGGAGTTCAACAAACCTAGAGCACCATGCTAGGGTTTGATTTTAGAGTTATCACATTACATAAAGAAGACTTACCAATTACGGAGGTAGCAAATAAAACCAACCAACTTGCCACGTGTTTCATCATTGGTTGAAAATCCAGAGGAGTAAACGAAGAGACTGCAATACAGCAAGCCTTCCACATGTACTGCCAGCAAGGTTTCCGATCGATTCGTCTACATCTTCTGGCAAGTTGTTCTACCACTAGGTGGTGTAATGTTGTGTTCAATGCAAGGTATCGCCCACAGCTGTCAAAGGACGTCTGTTTGTGTTTCACTTTTATCTTCATCATCTTTTTCAATTGAACCTATCGACAAATACTCTTAACGCAATTACCACCACAGAATCAGAAAGGAAAATAAAATAAACGTGTAATAATAAAATTAATTTTTTTCTTCTTAAGAAAATTTATTGCTGAAGTTCTGAGTCGACCTATATTGCAACAAGTGTTCAATTTGTTTTCTACTACTTAATATGAAATTTACACTTGATATATGCCTCTTGCTGATATATACCAACCCATTTATAACGTAATTTTTTCATTTTAAATTAAAAATAATAACGTTTTAAGTGATTAAATGGCAACAAAGCATGGATTAAAACTTCGAAAAACTTTTCTACGCGTTTACAGTACGAAAACTAATCTTTATATTTTGTTTTTATGTGAACTTAGACAAAAGTTCATTCTTCCTGAAAAGCTTTATAGGACAGTCTTTAATAATTTAACCTTTTCATTACTGAATTTTAATTAAATTTTTAAAATTATTGTTCCGTTACGTTTGCCTTACCGCATACACTGTTAAGTAATATAAGGAAAAGTCAATTTCGTTAAATTAAAAACAAAGCATCCTCTTATTTAAGCTTTATACTGTGACAGAAACATGATAAATCTATCGAATGGATCTTCTTTTTTGTCTGTTAATAAGTAAACAACTACTTTTTTTTTTTAAATATTATCTCAACTGACCGTTCACCAGTCTAAATTTAATCTTACTCTAGTATTTCGAAATGTTAGTTACGAAGATGATCTGTCATGTGAAAGTGGAGTAAGTGTGTACTTAATGAAAAATCACTTTCCTACCGACTGATAATGATTGAAGGGATTAAAAAAAAGAACAGAATTTCCACTCCAGTTCGCTAAAATTTGTTTTTCTTTGGGATTATCCTTCCGGATTTTTTTTTCTAAATTTATAAGTATAAACACGTTATATATATATATAAAATTGCAATTTTTTAATCTTCTGGATGAAAAATTTGTTGACATTTATGGCAATACGAAACCGTAGAAAAAGAAAATTCATATATATTTTTTTTTGATATTATAAACGAATATTTTCTCAAATGAAATTTATTTATAAAGTTGTTTTTTATTTATTTATACGATGAAAATAAATAAAATATGTTTTTTTAAATATTAATACAACAGCAGTTTTTATACTTGGATGAGAATTATAAAAAAATCGATAAGTTGCGGTACTGTTATTGTAGCAGTGAACTTAGTCCATAGACTATTGTGAATTTTTACACTCTTCTGGATGCAGAGGGAAACCACAAAAAGCTTTACATTTGCCAAAATTAGTTTTACTTCATCGTTATGTACTTAGTTTACTGGAGATTAGTTTAATAAAAGAAATCTACGGACAATTTTCTGTAGATTTTATGCCTTGGATCTACAATTCCACGATTCCTGAGAAGAAAATAAGAGATGAATTAATATGAGCATGATGCAATGAATTATACAAATGCTACATAAATTCGGTGGATTTTATTCTTAGAACGAAATTATACTAAAAGCCAGAGAATGTGTAAATCTAATTAAGCTAGGAAAATAAGTAAATTAGAATTAAGTTAATATAAAAATTTCATCTAAATTACAAATCTAAATCATAATAAACAAGGTTTTTCTTGGTAAAACATAAGTGTTTTACTAATTTAAAAAGATTTTCCTTTATAATATTCACGGAATATTATAAAATTAGATTTAATACGATGCAAACAACATAATTCGCTTAATTTGTTGTAAGTTCTTCATAATATATTTTATTTTTATTTAAAAATAAATGAAATAAACGTAAACAGGCTTAGTAAGCCGTTTTAGAAGCAAATAATACGAATATAAATTACTATAATCATAGAATGTGCAATATTATATCCAGATTCATTCGTAGAGGCTTGCATATAGGCGTATTCAGAAGGGCATAGGGGAATGTGTCCTTTAATAAAAAAAAATCCAGCAACGAATTGCTTAACTTTCCCGGTAACATTTGGTGGCGCCATCTGTTATCATATTTTATTAAAATAAGTTTTTATATTTTTAACTATTATAAAGTGGCACAAAGCTTAATTTTGAGGATAGGGTGGGTTTTATAAAAAGTTGTAAATGCTAATAACGAGTAAAATCGTCATTAAGCCTGACCTTACTGAAGATACACACGCCCCAATTTATCTCCCCACTCCCTTGACTTTTAATCACCAAAATTTAATAGCATCAATCTCCCTAATAACCAAACCGCCCTGAAAAATTTCAGAAAATTTCGACAAAAAGCACAGGAGTTATTAAGCTTCAAACAGGGTAACTAAATCGTGCCCCACACACTAAAATCCATACATACAAAAATTACTCCCGAAATTTTTGCATTTCTCGAAGTTTCAAGGTCCCCTGAGTGCAAAAATGTAAAATTCTTGGAGGTCATTTTTTAATCGATCGGCATACTTTCCCTCTGTCATATATAACCGCCGAGAAAGTAAAAATTAAAATAAATATATAAAGAAAATTTGTGATCAATACTAAGCAGTAATTTATTCGTATGATTTTACAAGAGTTATAGTATACTATGCTGTCACTACATTCCCTAAAGGTGTGGCCAAGAAAAAATGGATTTCCTGTGCACAGTGCCTGCAAGCATCAATCCTCTGAAGAACGTCATAAAGGCAGGGCATAGCACACCAGGAACACTCACTCACTCTTTCGCCCTACAACCTGCTGAAATCACTTACCACATCCACACTTGACACCCTTCGCAATTTGTCTACCCATACAAACCTCTTTCACTTCTTCCGTAGATAAAGATAAAAAAATCAAACATTCTTTGTATGTATATAAGCCATTTTGATAGTAATTTTATTCACAAATCACTTATGATTGTGCGCAATTTTTTTAAAGATAAATCTAGCCTTATACACGTATATTTTTGGTTAAGAAGAACAGTGATTGCTATAACTTTAAAGGGCCCAAGTGAATCTGAATTAGGTGACCCGATGTACTGTACAGTGTTGACTTCAGACATTTTTCTTCGGGAAAGTTTTGGGGAAATATTTCCTTATAAAAGATTGCTTTGGGGTTTCCTTTCGTGGTGCCCCAGGCAATTGCCTTTCTGACGGTAAGATAACGTGCTACTGAAGAGAAGGCACATGTACAGTACAGTACCCTCGCCTCTCCCTGTATACGCTTGTAGAAAATATGACTAATTCTAGACATCAAATTTATTTTGATCAATTCTAATTTTTCTAATAAAAGCTTTAAAAAAATGAAGCGATAAAATTCTACTGAATAATTCAAAATATTGTATTAAGAAATATGAATTCGTTATTGCATATTAATGTAAAAGCTGATTTATCTACTGTATATTCATGTTTGAGTTAAACTGGATTATGTATCTGAATAACTTTCAAAGAATGGATTTTATTAAAGTAAAATATGGAAGGAAAAAAACCTGAAATTTGACTGTATTTACATTTTTATTTATAATATTTATTTTAAAAAAATAAGAACGTAAAAATTCAGAACGGTTTTAGAGGATATTTAAACATTAATTTTGATAACTAGTAAATAATTATGATAAATCTTAATTTAGATGTCTAAATCTGTATTAAGATCTATTGCTGCAATTATATTTGGGATAAAAATGCGTAAATAAATGTAGGAGGACTTAACAGAATGGTTATTTTAGATCAGTATCCATTAAAGTATCTAGAAAAATATTCCTAAAAGCAACAGAAAAGATATAATTTCCTATTTTTCCAATGAAAAAGTAAAGAACAGCAACAAATTCCCTTTTCAAATATATAGGGCATCGATAGAAAGTTCGAAGAAAAAATTTATTCCTGTTACTTAGATCATTGATAGAAAAGTAAGGAAAGAAAAAACTTTTCTATCTTTTATATAAAAAATTCTGATATAAAAAACAAAACTTTTTTCTTTAACTTTTCACATTGCATTTCGGCAACAATCATACAGTTCCGTAGCATTTTGGACTGTCTTCTTTTATTAAATCAATTTATCAATTCTAAATTCGCTAAGTAAAAGCGTGTTTTAAAAGAAGAAGCGGTGTATATTCTTATATTTTATGAAGAAATAAAAGCCGAAACAATGTTAACACGTGTCAATCGATATTAATCACGATTTAAATGACGAAATTATCGCTGCAACATAATTCAAAACGAGAGTTTATATAGTAGTGAAGGCAGAAATTCCATATTGTCTACACCAGTTTGTGTATATACGTTCTAGAATTCAAAATATAGAGTGTATTTTTTAACCTTAAAACTTTTTTTACTAACGAAAATATTTGAATTTATATACACGAATCATTCTAAAAAAATTCTAGCATTCAATCCTCGGTTCATCTCCAGAATCTATAATTTTGAACATATTAGCAATTCTGAAGTGACTGCTAGACTACAAAAGGAAGCAAGGACCTGTACTGAGAATACTTTTATCAATAAAAATAAGATATTAAAATTGTGCAGTGTAGTTGAGAATATAAATTTCAGAAAAATTATATCTAGAATGGATTGAATTTATTATGCGTGATATCAGAACAGGATTTAAACTTGTTGCCACCCTAAGCTGTAGCATATAAGAGAGCTTCCTTCTTCACTAAAAAATAATAAATAAAAAAGACCGAAGCCCTAAACTGCACCTTGTTTAGCTTATGTGTAAATCCCGCTTCGTGCAATCAAGATTTCACTGTTAAAGGTAGATCTAATCTGCAAAATTATCGATCATAGATGACGAATGAGAAACAATGTTCTGAAACATCTACTAAAAACACGATAATCATGAATGGAATTTGAATTCGAACTCTTACGAAGTAAACGGAATACGCTGACATTGCACTTTCTTCTAGATATATTCAGAAACTCGTCAAAAATTTGCAAATGGTGCCTAAATTTTAAAGATTATTTTAACTAAACGGGCAAATACTTATTATGACATCATCAAATGCCAGGCTACAATTTTTAATATATCTAATTTAGTAGTGGCATGCCCCTGTAACCATACTTTTCCTTTAACAATAGAGTCATAACACCTTTCAGGAGAAAATGTTTGAATTGAAATAACGTGATTTCCGGTGAAAATCATCAGTTCATATATATATATACGATTTCCATATTTGGTCTCGACTTTCATCTATCTAACTCCGTTATCGCGATTAAGGAAAGACAGACAAATAGCCGGACGGACAGACAGGGGGACAGTGGA